AAAATCGCGGCAATCGTTTTCACGTCTTTTTCATATTTATTATCATTTGCAAGTCTCGTTTTGCTTCGGTTCGTATTTTTCGGCCTGAGCGGAAAAATGCAGATGAAGCGAAAAGAAAAAGATTTTCCAGCTGGAGGCTGGAGTTTGTCATCTGGGACAGAGACTGTGTCTTTCGTTTTCACTTGGCAATTAATCAATCAGCTTAGCTCCAAGACTTATCGGTGGACAAAGGGGGGGCATCTAGTTAAAACTCAGTAAATCAGTGAGTGTATTTTATTGAGATTTTACAATTAGGAAAATCGTCATCAGGCGTCATCAATTGGACACGGCTATTTTAAATGATTGCCAGAGTTTATTTTGGTTATAAAAAACATTTAATAGGCTTGTAGAAAAAGTCGAATTTCAATAAATCAAAACTGTGAAACAATAATAATTTAAAGTCGTTTCGTTTGTTAGGGAAATTGAGTATTAGCTCACACGACTAACCAGACATTTACAAAACGAATTTGGTGATTTAAGTCAGAAGTTAATAGTTTTTTGGTACAGTAATGTTTTAATTAGAATTTGTGAACGTAATGCCTGTAAATACCTGTACATTTTAGAAAGGCTAATTAAGTTATCAAGCTGACCAATTTCTACTTTCAGAAGATCATGCTTACCTAAATATATATTAAATTATTAATAGAAGACCAAAATTAGGGGTATACCAATTCGGCATACAGTTTTAATAGGTCAACATATAGCTCAAAAAGGATAGATAATATTTACTAGAATGGAAACCAGAAGCTTTGGTAAGTTTGCCATTTTAAAATCCGTTTTAAATAGGTAATTTTAAAAACTCCAAAGACAAGGATAGTAATGCTAATAAAAACATCTATATCATTCAAATTAGCTAGGTTTTTCCTTTTAAGATTGTTTTTCCTGGTAGCAGTTCGTTGCAAATTAAAGAATATTTAAAGGATTGTCAATATTAGATCTTTGGTATCAATTGATTGTCCCTCAAGTACTGACGAACTCTTTGGCCCAATTTGAACAGCTCTTCCTGGAATGCATTTTTACGTAAGTGGCCAGGCTCACCATCCCCTAGACCCGCCCATCGTTGACCCACCCGCCCCTCAACCCCATGACTCCCGCTCCCCCCATTTCGACAGCATATGGAGCACTGCAGTTTGGGGAGAGCAACAAAAAATGTCTGGCGGCCAAACGAAGGCAATCACGATTTTGTGTCTGAAACGTTTTTTGCGCGTTTTCAATTTCCCATTTTGGTTTTTCTTCTCGTTTCGTTTGGGGGTGGTGGGTGGCTGAAAAGTGGGGGGGGGAGAAGGCCACACAGTCGCTGGCAAAAGGAAACAGATACGCCTGTCCACAGATCGCGAAAAAGACAAAAAACAAAACCGAAAGAGAGCTATGGCTTTAACTTTTTGGCCGGCGCTTGTTGCGTTCGTTGAGGCGACGCTAATTGTTTCCGTCTGTTAATAAAAATATTTCAGATCAGTAACAAATTGAAAACAAGGCTGAAAAAACAAGGGGAGGTAGGCTGCTGTTTATGCAACGCCTCACGAAATGCAAATTGACATTTACGTGGTTGCAACACCAACAAAATGCCAGACAGTCGGACATTGGGCCACCAGCTTTATAGCCTGGCAAATAAGGAGCAACACGATTTGGCCAAGGCACCAAGAAAACCAAAAAAAAAAAACAAACAAACAAAATATAAAGCCCACAAAAAATTGTTGGCGACACTTTTTGCCGTTCCTGTTGTGTGTTAAAGGTCAATGAGTTTGGGGTTAGTGGACCTGAACCTGGGAGCCTGCCAAGAGTTTCGTTTTGGCTGTGGCTTGTTGTGCAACCTCCAATTGGGAGTTAGATGATGGGATAATGTCAGCCAAAGAATCGTGTCGCATTTGGCTAAATTGCTTGCCATTTTTGGTGCGTTAAAGGGAAAAAACAATGGAACTGTAAGATTTTCCGGAGAACACTTTCCTGGCAAATGAGGGAAAAGTCCGCCAAGCGTAACCAAGAGCTAAAATCAAATGGGCTGACCTCATTAACCGAAGGGTTTCGGTGCAAAAGGGGGGGCAGTGGTAATCAGTGTAGACAAAAGAATCGGGGGAAAAGAGCAGGCCTCGGAAGAAAAAGAACAATAAAATTACAATAATCGCTTCGAAAAGGGGTGATGAGTTTCTACGAGGAGGTGGTGCTCAAGCGACCATGATGATGATGAACTTGCAAAGACAACTCCCAATGACAATGACTCTTGTATCGCCCGCCTTTTTTTTTTTTTTTTGGCAAACTTGGTTACGCTTTAGAGAATTTCTCCCCCTGTAACACAAAGGTTAACAAACCTTTCAAGAAATTGGCCAAGAGCTTAACGGTGAAATTATAAATTAATGCACAGTCAAAAAAATAAATAGTGTAGTTTCCCTTACTTTGTTAAATAATATAATTTAATATTAAACCACAATTTAATTATAATAAATAAAATAAAATAATCTTTTACGTTTAAAATATAAGAGATATTTGAGAAAATGATTTCAATTGCATAGATTGCAGTAATCAGAAATGAAAAATCAGTGATAGAAAAAAAGTCTATAAAATACCATATTTATGTGACAAAATTAGAAGCCATTAAATATGGTAATGTAAACATTCGACCACAAATTTGAAAGCAAATTTTCTTCAGTATTATCTGAGATCTAATGTTGATGCCGCATCTGCATGTGGTTGCCACTGGCAACATTTGACTGACATTCGTTTTTCGCAATATGCTCGGGCCCGGCTGCTGTTGACTTGGCTGATTTCTACCGATTTGCGATTTGTTAATGGCTCGAATATTAAGTTACAATTATCTGACGGACGGCCATCGATGAGTGCGGAGTGCGAGGAATGGAGGAGGCTCCACTCCACTCCACTGTCATGGCCACATTTCACTTTCAGCAAGATCCAGCGACGAGAAATCGTGATGAAATTGATTTGCGGCTCTTTATTTTTTATTCGCCATCATAGTTACCGACAGCTCTCTATCTGTCCCTCCGCCCGCCCCCCTCTTCACCGATATCTCCTGATTTTTCTCAGCATCTGGGAACTGCATAATTTTCTCGCTTTCCAGCTATTTTGCATTTGCCATTTGTCTATTTTGCTTCTCTGGCGCTTCCACCGATATTCCGCTGTCAAATTGCCAAGCGGCAAGCGACGGCATTTTCCTCTGATTTTCCTCCGATTTTCCCCCCCGCCGGTTTTCCCACCCACAAGAGAGAAGAAAAAAAACTTCAGTCTCCAGTTGGCTCTTTAACACGAAACTGAATTTAATTTGCTTTTCTTCGTTTCTTTTGCATTTATTTGGCATGTTTGTTGTCTAATTGAGCGAGAAATTGCCGTTGATTGATTGTTTTGCATGCAATGTGCTATTTGTTATATTGTTATTGTTACTGCCATTTCAATGGTTGCTTTTATTTCCCATTTCACTACGGTTAATTGCAATTTGATCAATGTTCTGTTATTGTTTGCCAACAATTTGCAACGGCAAGTTGTAAATCTTTTCCTCTACAAGATAAATGTCAGTTTCTTCTTTGACAAATGAGTGGCCAAAGAAAACTCTCTAAAACTGAATCGCAAAAAAGTGTTTAAATTATTTAAGCTGACCCGTGTCAAAACTTTACACTTTGTTAGACTTCGAAAAATTGTAAAACGTCAAATATATTAAGAGCGACCAAACAAGCAGCATTAATTTATGCCTACGCTTGAATTTAATGCATATTGGCAATTCCCCAGCTGCCAGTCTTTAATATTATTTTAATTTTAAGCGACAACATTTTAAAAGTCTGGGTAATTGTAAAACATTGCCCATAAAGATGGCTGACAATGTTTGGTCACAACATATACAATAAATATTATCTGAAGTGTGCGCAAATGAATATGACTTAAAACGATGTCGGTATTAATAGGGGTATTTAAATATGCTATAAGAAATATTTTTGAATTTATCTCTTAACGTAGCATTATTAAAGTAATATAGTTCAAACAGAGAAACATGTACCTAAAGGTAATAGTATATATTAAAGATGTCTTATAATTGTTTTTAAAATCAAAATGCAAATATTATTTTCTATCTAAATATGTTATTTTTAATACATTTTACACTGAAGAAATCAAATGTATCTGGGACTTAGAGGACTTCGTGAGTGTATCTAATGTGGCACATTGTTCGGACTCCATGTTTGCGAATGGCATTGTCATGTTTATGGTAATTAACAGTTAATGGGTTCTACGCCATTGCAGTTGTTAATTAGCAGACATGGAACGGATTCTGCAGGCCACACCATATGTTGCACTCCGTCTGCGTTTCTGTGTGTTTAAGTGCAGCTCTTTGTTTGTGCAGCCATATTTCCTCAATTGAATTTCCCAAAGATAAACCGACAGTCCCCCGACCAAGAAAATAAATATATTGCAACGAGTTGTGGCCACAAATCGCAGCTTATTAATTCCCCAACAAAGTTCGCCAAAGGCCGCAGAGTTTCCACAACTTCGACGATCTCCGGCTGGCCGGTCATTTATCAATTCATGGAGTTGGCAATGGACTTTTTGGCCCCCCACCTCTTCGAGATGGAAGTGTGAAAACTGGCGGGGGGAAAAGGTGAAAAATGGGAAATGGGCAGCGGGCATGGGGCATCGGGCAACGGCAGCATCGCATTAACTGCACAGGTGTCCACTTAATTGACAGCTAACGAGGCACAGAGGAGCAGACCATATACCATAGACCCAGGCCAGACACATCAATATTTGATGAAGTGCATGTCGCTTTGATTACACAGGGAAAATGTTTAAAACATTATTTCGCCCAAGTACAAATTTCCATTAAAACTTTCATATTTTCTACAAAATATCTATGCACTCAGGAATCTATGGCCTTTCGGGTGTAGTAATTTTAAAAACTTTAAGAGGCTGGAAAGCACTTTGTTTCCCCCTGTGCAGTTAAATATATATTGAAAACAAAGTGAACAGGGTTTAATACTGGTCTTGGCCTTTTCATTTATTTAACCCTGGTCAGAAGCGAGGTGGCAATCGCAGGTGTCTTTCGGCGCAAAGATGACAGAAGCCCAGAATCGAAGGTTCGCGAAAGCTCTGCAAGGAATCTTCACTTTTTGGATTGAGAACTAATTTGCCATTGGGTAGAATGCATTTATTAGGAGGTTCTTCACGGAGAAAATGGGTCTGTGAGGATCTCTCTGTTGCGGAAGCCAAAGGTTGCACATTTTTATGACCTTTTTGCTTTGGCCACCTAGTAGGTAAATACCGAGTGACCTTTTTGAGTTCCAAATCTCCGTCTGAATCGGATTCCTCTTCACTCTCTGTATTATAACCACGTAGGATTGATCTCAGGGGTTCTAGCAACTGTTGCCTTCCGCCACACTCTCGTTGCTCCTCCATAAGACTCATGGGCGAGGGAAATCGTAGACAACTGCCTCGCATCCGGTCTATTTGGAGTTTCTTCTCCAACTCCTGTTGAGCCATTGCTAGGATTGTCCAGATGGAGGCTCCTCCGGGTCCGTAACGCTCGTTGTACCTTTTCTGCTCTTGGTACATAAGATATCGTAATTGGTGTAGCTTTTTCCAACGTTCAAATTCAGCCTTTCGGTGATCAATATCTTCCTCCTCCCTTTTGATGATTTCCAGCCGTTGGTTGAGCTCCTTCTGCGACATTTGTTCCACCTCTTGAGGCATTAGTTGAAGACGTCCTGCCCAGAAAAGAATTCGCCGTTTGTCCAATTCACGCTGTCGTTCGTAACGCGAATCACAGTCGTACTCTTCTTGGGCTGGATCATTCATGTTACTCCCCGCTTCTTTTCTTCAAATCATACGAATTTTGACTGACAAAACCCCAAAACATAACTCTATGATTGCTTTAATCTAAGACGAAACTTACCCACTGAGCTGATCACATATGTGGCTGGCGGTTTCAGGACACTCCGGGCGAAGGCTCCTCGCAGGACCTCCAGGGCACAGGGTTCAGCCGTAACCAGCAGCATTCCGGGTGCCACATGTCCTGCGTATTTCAGCGCCCTCGTGGCAGCAGTCAAAGGTCCATTCCACCAGCACTGCGCGTTGGCAGCCAGAAAGTTCTGAAAAATAGAAAATAAATTCAACAATCAGTAATGGTTTTTAGTAAAAGTTAGTGCAGAAGATATTTCTAATTATTTTATATACAGACAAAGTTATTTATTATTAAAATGAATCTTTTATGGATGAGAAAAGGAATAGAAAGGCCTATAAAAGTAATCATTAAAGTAGGAACCTGTAGTTCCTAAAATCCAACCGTCCAATATATCCCTATAATAAATACCAAATCATTGCAAAAAAAAATTCCCTATTCACGACAGGAAATGCACTGAAATTGAACATCCCTTTCGGGAAGCACAAAAGTGAAACAGGTCAAAGGGGTGTTTTTACTGGTCTTTACATCCATTTCCAGTGGGAGTCTGCATCTCATCAGCTAATTGACAAATTGCAGAGCACCGCGTGGCATAATTGGTGTGGTGCTGTCTGGCTTAAAGAGCTATCCATCTGTGGGCGTTGCAAGTGGTAACTGCCGATGCAAGCGGCTTTACCCTGATGGCTTGGCAACCGTCAATTAGCTAAAGCGGATCGCTGCCACGCCTCCGACAAAACCGAGGGATGGGGTGGCGCCACAAATACGAATAAAAAAAAGAAACCAAAAGCCGCTGTCTCATTGCTGGGAATTTATTTTTTTTGGGCTACCAAACCGAATCGAATCGTAACGAAACGAAATCCTTAACACGTTCTGGCCAAGAGATTTCCGTGGAAAAGGCTGCAAAAACCAAAATAAAAAAAGAAAGAGAAAAGTGGGAGGAGTGCGGAAAAGTGGTGACTGGGGCAGCAAATAAATGTCCAATTTGTGCAGTGACAGGAACACTTGAGGCACGTTTTTGATGTAAACACGGACAAAAAGGGTCGAGAGTCACAGCAAAAAGCCATGGACAATGGAGCCAAGGGATCGAGTGAGGATTGGGAAAGAAAGGCCAAGAGATCGATGTAGCCGCCGGAGTTTCACGCTTTGTGGCTTTCTGTGTCGCTAATGAACATCATCCAGTTTGAGCGATTTGACCTTTTTGTCGATGGGCCAGCCAGGGAATCCGGGGAATCGGGTTGGGTATTGCCATTTCTTGTGGTCACTCCTCTTGGCTTTAATGTCGCCTGAGTCTGGTATGCCGCTTATATAAGTTGGATGACTCTCTCCATCACCATCTGCATCTCCACCTCCATCTCGATGCCCAAGATGCCCATCCATGCCCATGCCCATGCCCACCTTCCGCCTGGGGCTGCTCAATTAATGCATGAGAAGGCGAAGAAATTAACTCGTCATTGCCTGCCCGTCAGGCTTTTGCTTTGGCTTCGGCTGTCACGCGCCGCCAGATGGCGCTCATCTTACACTGGGAAAAAATTAGGACACCATGAAATGTCTTGGGGGATTAAATGAAATTTAAAGTAATTTTCAACTCGATATGATAAAAAGACGAGATGGAAAAATTAAAATTTGTCTCATTACAACGATATTTTTTTACAATCCATACAAAGAGCTTAAATTTTAAGAAACATTAAAAATCCTAAACTTCTGTTGTTTCGTCTATGAGTTAACTTGCAATTAGTCAATGCAGGCATTTATTAATATAGACTTTCCAAGCAATAATCATCATTTTTAATAAAATACTTTTCGTTTACCGTGAAGAACAAAGACGTTCATATCTACAAAAAATTTATAAATCTTAAAAGATAAAAATTCACGATTCTCAATAACTGTAATAAATGTATAATCTGGTTAAAGTTTTTAAACCATTTAAAAAGTCAAACTAAGTAAAATTTGATTAGCAAAACCTATGAAACCTATAGTTGAAAGAAAAAAACGGTAAGAACCTAATATATTTATTTATATTTCAAACAAATGTCCGAGAACCTGTTGTTAGAGTGCTCTTGATAGCTTGTAACATTTTACTAGTCTTTGTGACTTTTAAACAAAGCTCTTATATATTCGTTCTAGTGTAATACCATAGTATTTTTCCGTGGTGCAGCTCATCCCCCACCCATCACCATAATTATAGTGCTGCATCATTGCAAGACACGAGACAAAATGCCAGAGACAGTCATCAACAGCCTACTTATAGAGGCTTTCCATCGATCAAAGGGATCTGGTTTGGAACCTGCGCTTCGAGATGTCTCGGTTTCTCGTTTCTCGGAAGTAATGCAAAACTTTTAATAATCAAATCAAATGCTCACGCCGACCTGAGTCGCGCGTATGAAAGTCATTTTCTCCTCGGGCTAAATTTGAAGTTTCGCTTTTTGGCTGCTCTTGATGTCGTTTCATGTCTTTTATTATCGTATTTTTTTTTTGTTTCGGGTGGCGGCTTTCGTTTTGGGACTTTTACTTAATTTCATGTAATAGAAAACTAAACAACAAAACTCCCACAAGAGTAATGCTCAAAGACAAAACTATCACCGAGAGTTGTAGTGGAGTGGAGTTTATGAATCGAGCCAAGAGTAGGCCTCATGTGGGGAGGCTGCTGCCGCTGCTGCTGCTGCTGCTGTTGTGCTGCTGATGTTGCTGCTGTGCTGCAACAGTTGCTGCCGTTGTAGATCTCTCGTGTGTGCCGCATAAAAAGATAATAACAATATACAAACAAATGCGCAGTCAGGCAGCCCGTAAGCCGGAGATTGCCAACCGCTGCGGACTTCGAGCTTAATAGAGTTATGATGAAGTATAATAATCCTTGACCTTTCCACCAGCCAACATCAAGTTGCAGCTACAAGTCAAGACCGCAGCTCTTAGGCACAAGTCAAAACGTTTTTGGGCTCTTTGTGTTTTCCCCCTACCATATTTTGCCGTTTTTTGTTTGTGTTACCCTTCATTTGACTTTAAAAGCGCCATTTAATTTCGCAAATGGGAAGAGGCCGGGTCCAAAAATGAAAATGTTTCTCATTTCTCCAAGATCATGTCAAACGGGGATTTAAAAAGGTGTCGGGGATTAATGCCAAACCCAAGGGGCGTACATTTTGGTTTCTTAATTTGAATTATAAATATCTACTATATATTTTAAAATCTTGTCCGAGTCGAGGTCGTACTAAATTGCCCCTAAATTTGAAACGCCCATATTGCCTGGGAACGTAGTAAAAATTATTATTTTATATTAATCCGTTGAACATTTATCATGGGAAAAAATTAGCTTTTAAAGGGCAACGTTTCTCATAATGTTAATGGGAAGACACTTTATCAAGTTTACAGATTTGCAGAAGCAATCAAGTAAACTAAAACCAATGATTACATAATTTAATATACAATATAAATTATTTGTTATTTAATGGGTTTTCTTTTTGAAAGTTAAAGTGGTGCTTCATCGAACAAATTATAGCTTGCTTATTATTGAGATAGCATCTTTATCTTAATTTATGGCTTCTTAATGGTCTAAAAATATTGCATTTATTATTTTTCATCGTTAAACTTGGTGTTAAATCGTTCCGCGTCATGTAAATTATAGGTTACTAATTAGTATAATAGCTCAAATAAATTGAATAATCCCAGATTTAATTTCCCATTTATCCTAAGAGCTTATAACTTCTGAAAGTATAATTATTTTTGTGAAGTTCAAAGCCAAATGAAGACTTACTGGGTTAATTATTACAGTGTCTGCCATGCAATTTATTTAATCTTCCATTCCCCTGTTGATTACTTTCAGGATTACATTTATTTTTCTGCACTTCCAGCTACAAATGAAAATGCTCGTTTCCAATTATTTGAGGATTTCTCACGTCCATAACTTGTACATGAGCGCCCCAGGACAGTTCCTTTGTTTGAGCCTTATCCCTGTCATCATTGTTTATTTGACTCTGGTCAAGTGCCAGACAAAGCCGAGGGTTGAGTCCATAAAACGTAGCGCCTGTCGGAAGCTCCGGCGAGCATAAATACAGGACGAACAGCGTTCCAATCAATGCGGCTAGTCCTGATAAGGATACAAATTGCATGGCCATGTCCGAGTGACGCCCACTTCCTCCGCTAAGATCCCAACCCCTCGAGGGCAAGAAGCGGAATAAGATGTGTTCGGCTGACTGACTGCGTTTCTCGGACTCGAACTCGATTTGCACTGCACTTAAAATTCGAATCGGATTTGGGGGACGCTTCACCCCACAGGCAATGACTTTGGTCAGCTATAGAGGGTTGCCAGGATGCCAGGTTCAATGACCAGATATCTACTACTCTTGGCTAAACATGCGATTTGTTTTATTAGTTTTCCTCGAACAAAACACACTCAAATACCAACAGCTGTTGGCAAAAGTCCTGCCTGTCTTTCTGCCTGCCAAACAAAAACAGATCCAATGGCTTGTGGCCTGGATATCTAGCAAGGCATCACATCTGCAACTATTTCAACTTTTTGGCAGCCCATTGCGGTCGCTATTTTTGTTGCAATTAATAATAAAAACTTTCAACTGGAAAAGCTAAAAAACTCTCTCAAACTCTTTCGTATAAATATTCTCGTTTTGTGGGAAAAAGTTTTGCAATTGCTAAACTTCTAAAAAGTAAAACCTAAAAGGGAAATGGAAAAAAAGCATATGAAATGATATAGACCAAAAGATACCTGATATTTAAAGTGCATTGGTTGCAATTTCGGGTTCTTCGTTAAAAAAATAACGAAAACATATGATATTTCCAATAAATTGTATTTTGATAGAACATGTGGCGCCCAACGTTGGGCATTTACGTTTCGTTTATACATAGCGTTTCACGTGAACCCATTGTTGATATACTAATGAATACCATATCTAAAAGGAAATTTAGCATAAGAATGTGTATATCTGCTACATGTTTTGGTTAGGTAAATTATTTATAGAAAATTTACCAGTAGGGCCAAACATGAAAGCAAAATGAACCTGTTAAACGTGTGAGATAAATAAGATATGCGAGTCACCTGATACAGCGTAAATACAACTCTTTTGCAGATCTAGTTCTTGGATTTGAAACGATCTATTTACATAAACACAAATACGTCTTGGCACCACAAACAGTGGGTATGTTTATACGTTTTTATTTACATACAAATATATATAAAAGGTATCA